TATTTTAAAGGAAGGAGAAAAGGATTTACTTATTCCCCAACCCTGCTAGTAGTTTGAAAGGGAGGGGCAAAGGGCAAGACTAGAAATATAAATGGCTGCTTTAAGTTTGCTAGGGGCACTTAAGTCAACATTAGTTCTTAAAATTGATAATTTTATTAATTTGACAGCATCAGAATTTGTTTATGGTGAAAATAATGGTCTTTCAGTATCATAAAATGTTTGCTTTACAAAAAAAGAATCAGTTCAGACTAAAAAGCAGGACCACCACACTGGGTTGGTTTAAAGAATGGTGAATCAGTCATCTGCTCCACTTAAAATCACTGCTTTACCGAGTTTTAATTTTCACAGTTTTGCTGCTCAAGAAATGTCTTAAAGTAGAAAAAATGAGCAATAGTAAAATAGAAATTTTAGTTGTCTCCATAATAAAGCACCCAGTGAAACATGAATGATACATTGTTTTTTCATTACTGGGAATGTCAAGCATGGTAGCAGTTATGGGCTACAAACTGGAACAGCTATTCTCACATGTGATGAGATTGTTGATTCAGACTTCCCTATTCATAAAATTTTGTTAAGTCCAGAGTTTGAAAGCCATTTTATTATAATACTGCAGTATCCTTTTTCTATAGCCTTATTAAAATTATCTGCAAGTTTTTATTTTTTCAGCTTAGTAGTGCTTTCACTGTATATCAGAGTTATACTCTACAGACCAACAAACTCAATTTGAGGTAAATTAAGTAGCTTTCCATATGCCCTTTTTTCCTCAGGTGCTAATATATAAAGGCTCCAGAATGGATACTGCTTTAGTAATATCTGCTTTATTCCTAAAATGCATTATTTCTTTTGCTAGATGTGAAAGTTTGGTGTTAAAAGTTTAATATGTAAATATGAATGGCTTAGTTTGCTTTTTGTTTGTCTATTAAGTCTGTTTTCATTATCCTCTGTAGAGGTGGATTCTTTCATGATCTTGAATACGTTTCATTAGATATTGCATTTTTAGAATGAAAACACAACTGTTTTCTGTCTTAGATTAATTCTGCTGCTGCTATGAGAAACTGAAAATCAAGAATGTGATGCACTTTTTACATTACTGTATATCATACATATACCATAGGTTGCTTTGATACTTTTTCTGTAGCACAGCCACTAACAAAAGTGAGTGAATTTTATAATTCTCTGTGGGAGGGAATCAGTGCCAGGAACTAATCTACAGTTGGTATTGGCCTATGAATGATAATAACTTAGGAAAAGAAAAATTTGCTCAATATTACACTTTTTGGCCTTAAAATGTCTTCTACTGCTGAAAATATTTTAAATCTTAGCTTTGTTTTTATTGTTCCCTCTTTCTACCTGAAAAAGAAAATGGGAAGAGTGGCTTAATGGAAGTCCTGTTGTTGGTTTGTTGATTATCTTTAGAAAACAGTTGTCTACTATGTAAGCTGGGATTTATATTTGTTTGTATACCAAGGAGAAATACTGTCCTGAACCAGCAAGATTTAGTTAAGTCAGTCAAAACTCCCAACTATTCTGCTTCTCTTATATATTTTTATTTAGCAAAGGTAAACTAGAAGAAATGCTACTTGACAAAAGGAAAAGTCATTTCTCAAGCACATACTCAGACTTGAAGGAGATGTGACCCAAAACGATGGGAAAAAAACACCAAATGAGGTGGAGGAATGTGAAAAGATGTGTGGTCCAAAGCTATCTGGTTATATTTTGATGTTGCCAATATTGTAGAGCCAAAATTTTTAATTTGCTTATTTAATGTTTGTTGGCCAGAGATCTATTTTTATATCAATGTGCCTTGCATGTATATTTAAAATTTTTGAAAAGGCCATGTAGTAATGCCTGAGACAGTTGATGGTTCTCACCACCTCACTAATTTTTATGCAGTATGAAATGCTTGTTCTATTGCCCAACTGGTGCTCTCTGTTTAAAGTTACAGATCTTGTCAAACTGGAACTATTTTGTAAACTAGGGAAACTTTCAGTTTTCTCTCTTTTTTTTTTTTTTTTTTAAAGTCTGTTAGTGGCTGTTTTGTAGTGGGAAATAGTAAAAGGATTCTTCACTTCTTTTCCTTCCCCGACTCCTAGCACCTTCAAGTAATGTGATGACACCATTTTTTGTGTGCTTTGAAAAAAAGATTCAGCTTGCTGTCTCCTTTAGTGTTATTAAAAAGTATTAAAAGCATTGTTTCAAAATATAGGGAGATAATGGAGTGAGTCCATGCTAATTTGGGATTCTATGAGCTTAGATTCAGTTATTGGCTCTTTCCAACTTTAAAAATTTTTGTTAAAGCACCTTGCCTAGAAAATTTTAAATATTTATGTCTGCAACAATTGTCTCAAAATAATAAACTGTGCAATTCTTGTTATTAAAAAAAATTGAACTCTTCCCTAATGTGACTTGTTAGTTTCTCTGTATTTCCTGCCAGTGTAAATGTGAAAAGCTTTGCTTGCATTACGTTTTAGAAATGCATTTTGCACACTCAAATTTTGCTGAAGCTCCGTGAAAAGGTTAGACCTAAGTAGATGAATAAAGCTATGCACATGTTTTGAAAGTTTGTGTGTCATTACAAAAAGTGACCTATCTGTCATTACTTCCTTGTTCTTAGCTTTACCATCTTTGGAAACATGGCTCAAAGTTTTACTTCCGGGCTAATTTTATCAGTAGAACTGGTAGAAGAAAATTGGCATCCATTTTAATAAAGTTTAGTTTAAATGAGAGCTTGGCTTGAATCTATTAAAGAACTTTTCTCTAAATGGAGCAGTTTTACCAGCTTTGTAAACCACTTTGTAATTTCGCTTTCAGTGAAATTTTGGCTTATTTGATGAAAACAAATGGGAAGTTTTCAAACTGCAAGGAAGGGAGGGCCTTTGCTACATGGAGCTCTGACAATTTTATCGTAAACTGGTTTAGAGATAGGATAGTCTTGTATTGATTGCTTAATCATAAATTTGGTTCATTAAATAAATGATTGATGGTGTAAGCACCTGCCTGGCAAATGCAAGGTCCCGAGTTTGATCCCTGGTACCAAAAAATAAAAAAGTGCTAACAAATAATTGTTATGAGATTAGAATCACTTGTTTAAAGATCAAAGCACAGATTATTTCAAAGATAATGTGTATCTTTTATAAAAATTGCACAAGCTTATTTTTGAAAAAAGTTTAGAAATTGGACATATTTGATTCAAACACTGCAGTTTGCATGAACTAAATAGCTTTATTTCACATGTATATGTGCTTAAGGTTGTGTACATGTTCTAGCCAGGTCTTAAAGTTATCTTTAAGATTTTCTGTAGTCTCAGGATCTTTGTAGGAGAGGCTATGCGATTCAGTAGAAGTTATTACTAATAGTATTTTCCCCATGTATCTAGACAAAAAAGAAATCCTGTCTTAAGCTTTTCCTGTGTGTAGAAGGAGTAATAAGTATATTAGTCAAGATTGGAAGGGTGACTTAATGCATGGCATTAAGAGAAATGGAGGTATAGCAAGCATTATTTTAGATGGCTTTGGCTACTTTTCAGTATCATTCATTCACTTATGTTCAATCTTACAACATGTTGGAGGAGCAAAGTGATTTTTGATGTGTGCAGGCACTTAGGAGGTGAGTTACCTCTTAATTTGGGGGAAAGGATAATTAGTTGGTTACAGTTACTTTAGATATTTTTCCCTTCCTCCTCAGAAAGTTTTTTCAATGTTTTACCCGACGAAAAAAGATAGGTCTTTAGATCAAAGAACAGTGACCAGAAATTTACCCTTTTACTTAAATGCGTAGGTATTTGCTATAGCTGTTTTGGATGTCATGGATTCTGAGGAAGTGTCACATAATGATCTTCCTTTACTGATGTCTTAATGTTCAGTGTTTTAAAAATAAAAATTACAAACACTTTACAACCATACTCAGATTTACTTATTTTATCAGAATAAAAAACCCAAGAGATTTGTAGATCAAATTGAGACAAGTGTACATTGTTGAATAAAAAATTTTAAAATTTGAGGTGTTTGTGTTATTTTTGTGTGCTTTAATTTTTTAAAGAAGTCTTTACTAAAAACTTAGTTGATTGTAATGTTGGAGTCCGGGCATGGTGATGCACGCCTGTAATCCCAGCGCTGGGGAGACTGAGAACAGCAGGATCACTACAAGTCCATGCTGCATAGTGAGAACCTTTAACAAATACACAAAAATTAAAAAAAAAAGTGTAATGCTAGTAAGGAGTTCCCCCAACTAAGGATGAAATGTACAAAGAATTTAAATCTTGTGTACTGTGTTTTTACATCCTTTTTTAATCACACAGGTTTGTACTTGGAGTTAGCATGTTTATTGAAATCAGCTTTAAGAACAGCTGTTTGACCTTTTGGGGGACATTGAACCCTATGCTCTTTCATTTGAAATAAACCAAAACTGAGCTGAGTAAGCAGTCAAAAATGTTAAACAGCGAGGATTCTGGATTTATTCATAACTTGTTACACAAATCTTTGGTAGTATACGTTAGACTTCGTATTTAGAACATTATAAAAAATCAACTTGTCGGGGCTGGGGAGATAGCTCAGTAGAGGGCCTGAGTTCAGTCCCCAGTTCTGCCTCCCACCCCCCAAAAAAAAAACTTGTCACAAATTGTTAAATGTGCTGAGATCCAACATTAGTAGAGTAGTGCTGGGGATAAAATATCAGTACTGAGACTGATATGTGTTTTAAATGCTTTATTCCTTGAGAAAGGGAATAATTGCCCTTGACCTGCTGACTGACTTGGAAGGACACAAGAATTTGTGTTTTATTGAAGTTTATCTTGAAAAATTCTCTGTCACTTAAGTATGATTTGTGTAAAGAATGGTAGTTAATTCAGTCTACAAAGGTGTTTTTTTTTTTTTTTTAAATGACATTTATTGTGGATTTCAGCAGCTAACATTTGGAAGCAGTGTCTGAGCAGAACATAAAACTCTAGAGTGCTTAGCAAGGTCTCATGCTTGAAGAATTCTCTTACAGGAAGTTTTAATCCACTACTGTTGAATACGGCGAATAGATTGGATCTGGGAAGTCTGAGCATGAGAACCCCACTCTCTCCAGTGTTTATAGTCTCCTCCATGATGGTCACATTCCAGAATGTACTGATAACCACGATATCCAGGGTACTGGTAGCAAACCCAACTAGGAAATTGAAAGCATATTGCATTATTAAAATTGTGTATTAGGAACCTAGCAAACATTCTAACACCTGAGCCTCTGAAGGCAATGGTGCTTCTAAGCTTAGAGAACAATAGCCATCCTTAATGTGTCAGGTTCCATTTGTAAACTATATGGCTAGGGCTAATTAAGAATTACCCTCGGGGCTGGAGAGATGGCTCAGTGGTCTAAAGCACCTACTTGAAACAAG